GAATTGACTTGGTAAGCCACTCAGTATATTTTTTATTGGATGACTTTGATGTACTGAGTTTCTGCAACAGAAATAATTAAGATGTGCTTCCCACCTCAGGGGACTCTAATATCTGTATCCCTATAAATTTGGCACAGAATAAACTGTTATCATCGATCCGGTAAAGCCAGATACAAGCAAGAAAACTCTCTGTTAAAAATTAGATACAAAGAAAGGTAGGGAGGTTTGTATCACTTAAAACATTTGTCAGCCATTAAAGAGTTAATTTTCTTTGCCGCTTATAGCAAAAGCTCTTCTACACACTGAAGACATAACAGATGTTTTAATTTTTATTAGTGACTGTTTTCAAAATCTTTGAATTTGGTTTTGACTTAGAGATTTCTTAGCATCAGTGGATTTTAATAGACTACTTATCAATAACAATTTTGAGCAGAAAAACCTAGAAAACAGCATTTCAAACTGTTAATATTTCTAATAATGGTCTACTTACTGAATTACAATTATGGGTACTTTGAATATTTAACTGAGTGTAGAACTTTCTTAATATTATAACTTGTTTTAAATGGCATGTACAAACAGTATACTAGACATTTTGCAGTAGTGGAAAGTTGAAACCAGTGTTTCAAAAGCCTACACTGTTAAATAAGCAAATAGAAGACATTATTGAGAGTCCTCAGCTGGGGCAGGGGCCAGCCAGTGCACACGCATGTTATTATCATCAATCTGAGACTTAATTTATTAGAGACTGAGAGTTACCTAGGAGCCTCAAGCACTGTCTTCTTTAAGAGCTGGTGCTAAGTTTCTCCCAAACCCAAGAGGTTGATAACGTGCTCACATTTGGGGGTAGATGAAGGTTGCCACAGAATGCTCAGAAAGGCTGTGAACTTAGCTGGGAAGAAGCACACAAGGAGCTGAACAGAAGGGGACAGAAGAAACAGACAGAAACACAGTAGAGACTTTGAATGGCAAGCTTTTAATTTATTTTTGTAAGGCAGTGGGAGCCCGATGACATTTTGAAATGAGCGAGGAGAGAAAAAGCTGAACTCTTTCTACTGTTTATTTTCTCCTTGGGTCTCAAAAAGATTATTGAATCCTAAAAAAAAAAAAAAAGTAGATTATAGAATCTTAAAGAAAAAAGTCTGCTCAAGAATATGTGGCTTTTACTATTTTTTGGAGTGTGGAGCAGGTCAGATTTTAGCAAGGATTAAGAAATAAATGAGAGAGAAAAAGACTGTAGGTTGTTGGCACAAAGATCAGACAGAAGAAAAGCCCAGACGGCCTCAGCTAGTCCAATGACTCGTGTGGAAACCGCTGCTGGATCTGCCCAGAAAGAAAGTGCGTCTGAGGGTCAACCACAAGACACCGTGCAGACGCAGGGTAGACAGTCAGAATAACCAGTGCGCTGTGAGTGCACATTCTTGTCGTCCAGAGGATGTTTAGGGCGCTTGTACCCAGGCACATGTGGCCTCAGCTCTGCATGATAGGTCTGCTCCCATCCAACTCTGCTCGGTCCCCTGGCCTCTAGCTCCCGGGGAGTAAGCCCTCAAAGACTGTGTGCTCTGCAGATAAGGTGGTGTGTGTTCATCCAGGCATGGAGCCTAGAAACTGAGGAGGTTAGATAATTCAGGCTACCTCGTTATCCACTTTAGGTTAATTATTAATCTTTAAATGTGAGATCGGATGCAGGTTAGTTGAGTTACTGTCATTTTTAACACTTCTATATTGTGCTCTGTTGTCTACTTTGGCATAATAGCAAACACAAAAGAAAAAAGGGGAAATGCCCCCATGGTCCCAATTGTTTCATTTGGTAGGTAGGATACTCATAAAATTATAAAAGAAAGGCTAAGAATATACAGACAGAACTGCGCTTGGACCAGAACTGCCATAAAGAAGGTAGACATTTCAGAATCAAATGATGGATGGTTTTCAGATGGAATTAAGTTTTTATATTATTTTTAATGACATTTCTGTTTTATTGTTCTGATACAGCTGTCAGATCTGCCTTTTTGATCATGTGTTAAAAGACACCAACCAAAGTTCAATGTAAATAATGATACACACTGGCTCATCAAATTAGTTAGGAAAACGGTGAAAAAGAATCTGTTTTGTTTACAGAATTAAAATTTAAGGAGTCTTATTAGAAATTAGAGTTAGACTGAATGCTGTTCTGTGGGCATTTTTTTCCCTTTCATATGTCTTTCAAACTTTATTAGTAATCCTGAATTTCATACTATTTGATACTGAACTTCTGTTGAAGAATATTGTTTAGTAACTAAAACCCAAGACTAAGATGATGAGTTTGGAGAGGGTGAGAGGGAGGAATAAAATAATTCTCAGTCCCCTCAATATAGTTATTTCTTCTTCTTTAACTTCGATTTTAGACATTGATGAGTGTTTACAGAATGGCCGGATCTGCAATAATGGACGTTGCATCAACACAGACGGCAGTTTCCACTGTGTGTGCAATGCGGGATTTCATGTCACGCGAGATGGGAAGAACTGTGAAGGTAACAGGGCGTGATAATAATGACTAGAGGGCAACAGTGTTACTCCTCGTCTTCCATCGCAGTTCCAACATCAAAAGTCTGTAACAAGACCAAGCCAAACACTGAGGGGAAGGGTCGGAGTATCAAATATATAAACACCTATTCTTATCTGAGAGGAAGACTGGTTTTCAACAGTATGCATGCCTTGAATTCACATTTGTGTCAAATAACATCTTAAATATCAGAACAGAGCTTGCTATTTAAGGATCCCTGGTAATGGAACTTATGTAGCATAAGTAATTACTTCCAAACTTTATGCAACCAGAATTTCTACATTTGAAAATAATTCTAATCCCATATATTCTGTAGTCATTACAGTCATTTTGTTTAAAGTGTCTGTGCAGTAAAAAAAAAATACAACTAGTGAATATCTGGAAATGTAAAATTTGAGAGAAATGTTGACTACTCCGAGTGAGCCCTTTATAGTGCCTCTTGAATTAATCACCTCACTTTGAATTGGGCTGTTTCAAACATTTTGTCTTTTCCTCTGCCCTTTTTTTTCCCCTAAACTGAAAATACGACAATTATTGATGAGTTTCCACTTCTTAGACCTTTAGCAAAAAAATGAAGAATGCTTCTTATCGTCTTTCCCAACGTCTTTGGGAAAGATCCCAAGAATCTATTCATACATTAAAAGAATTTCAAAATTGTTCTTAGAAACATTTTTGGCAGAATATTATCTCAGTGATTCAATTCAAAGACTTAATGCCAAAATTCTCAGTTGGGATAGGATCTTGTTTAAAAAAAAAATCATAAATTACTTTGGTCTGACTAAAGCCTGTAAGTGAAAACACACCATGTCTAGAAGAGCAAGTGCCTCCTAAGACAGCTGTAATATTAAATAAAATAGCACACTGATGAATTTAAAGAAATAGGATCAAGGGATCCTATAGGTTAGCTGTACGCCACAGTCGAGTCTTGCGTTTTAAAAATACATTTTTTCCTACCCGTATTTAAATTGCTTCAAACTACCAGCTGTCCTCTGGTTTCCACTTTTTAAAGAATCAGGAAGTAGCTTAAATACATTGCAAATGTCATCCTTAGTTTTGAGGGTTTTTTTTATTTTCAGTATATTAGAATTCATAGGGATCTGTAGATACAACCATCAGGCTTTTAACACACTTTTCAGTTTGTAAACTAAACTCTTCCTAGAAAGAGTCTTGGTAGCTTTTATTGAGTCAAATTTCATATATATTTATATGAATTATATATATATATATAATTCTATATGAAATTAATATATACGTCTGTGTATATATATACACATGATATGTATATGCAAGTGTGTATATTTATGTGTATACATGTCATAAAATAACTTTAACCCTATAGCTTGCATGCACATGTCAAAAATTGAGAACTTGAGATGCATATTTCATACAGCTCTTCTTCTCTTTGTCTGCTTTATTTGGATGAAAATTGGCCTTAGACAATAATAACAAAAATAAAGCAATGTAAAGAAACAGAATTATATTGATCCAGATTGGCTTCCTTTGTAAACTTACTCATCCAGTCATCAGAAAATATGTCTTCTGTATTTTTCAGATATGGATGAATGCAGCATAAGGAACATGTGCCTTAATGGGATGTGTATCAATGAAGATGGCAGTTTTAAATGTATTTGCAAACCTGGATTTCAGCTGGCATCAGATGGGCGTTATTGTAAAGGTTTGTGCTGTAAAACTCTAAATCATATTCTTCACCATTTTTTCTCTTCTCTGCATCGCTTAGAGCTGCCACCTTGCCTTATTGATTCTCCTGATTTCAAGTACCCTGATTCTGGGTTAGGAAACTGGAGCTCCTACTTAAGTTCAGCCATCCAGAGAACTACAGTTTATGTCCAGAAGGCAGTTCTTATTTCAGAAAGGGTGTTTGGTGTCTTCTCAAAGGAGCCGGATAGGCTCCATAGCAAATGAATGAGAAGCTGCACTGCCATTTGGACTACCAACAGATGTGAGCATCTTTTTCAGTAAGCTGTCTTCTTCCTCTTCCTTGTAGTTGAGGAATAATGGCCCTTGGCTTCTTGACGACTGTCATTTGCCAACTCTTCCATCTTTACTAGGACAGACTATTGTAGGCTCTTATGGCAGTGATCTCTTCTTCATAATTTCCTCCATATACCTTAAGAAACACAATGCATTTAAGCTTTATCAAGTCACAGAAGCAAAAATGGGAAGGAGGTTTAAGCAGAAGAAATAAAGGAACTTTTGAAATAATTTCATTTTTCTGGGTAGTGAAGCAAAATGAAGATTTTTATCTGTGCTGCTGAAAACTGGGGTCCTGAGAATTGTCATCAGAGGTAAACTCGTGCTTAGTGGCTCCTGCCTCGAGTGCAGTCAAGGATGAGGAGCTATTGCACTTGTGTCTAAGATCTGAGTTGGAACCAGGCTTCTCAAGGAACCTCATGCTCAACACAGGTCCAGGAAATCTGCAGAAACCCTACGCTCAAAGCCTTCTGCTCATAGTTTCAGATGTCGAAGTGCAGAGCAGCAAGCTATTCAAGACTGAGAAGGCAGGAGAAACGCCTATGGTTCCCCTTCTCTGGGTGCCCCTGGTGGGCAGCTTTGGTAAAGAGGTCGTGGAAGAAAGCCTTGTATTGAGTCTTCGGCGAGATGTGTATTTTCTCTAGGCTTAAAAGAGCTTCTAGCCCCTGGTTGTTTACCTACGTGCTCTCTGACCTTCCTTCACATCAGTGGCTCCTAGTACTGTACAAATCTTCCTTCACAGCAAGAGAAAGTGTTTTTTTTCAAATTTGAAGTCAGACATTGGTTTCTGTACTTTTGAGCTATGTGCTGGGAGGAACTGACAGTTGCGAAGACAAGATTAACATGTGGAAATATTCTACAGTGTGAAGACAACATACAACAAAGCACTAAACTGTGCAGTAATATTAAGTGCTGTGCAAGTGAAAAAGAAAGGGGAAGGGAATGATTGCTGGAGTATTGGAACTAGGCTTCCAAACAAAATAACAGAAGGAAATGTGAAAGCTCCTTTGTGAACAGACCTTTTTCGAGAACACTCCTTTTACCTATTCACAGAGCATGCTCAGATTTCATTTTAGTGCCTATCGGCTGCTGGTGACCCCAGCCACAGCCTCTTGGTCATGGTGGCCAATAGATAATGCTAATGTAACTATTTCAGAGGATATTATGACCCCATAGGTGAAACCAGGTTTTGCAACTGTTTGCAACCAGTGAACTAGTATCTTATCAATAAAATGGATTGTTCCGTTCATTTGAAAGTGCCTGCTGGTTCTAAAGCTCTGACTAGCATTCTGGCTTAAGAATCAGAGCTAGAGAGGAAGAGAGAAGGAGAATGGCCTGTATTCTTACCTATGCCTTCTTCTTTCTGATGTTTAGAGAAGGTGGAGTAATAAGAACAAAGGAGGAAGAAAGGAAAGGAAGAAATGTACGCTGAATTCTCTTCCATAATTTTTCTCTTGACACCAACAGGAAAAGATTTTTTTCTTCTCCCTGAGTGCTTAGTTGACGCCACAAAAATGTGACTGCTCAGAGTTGAATAAGCAGAGCTAATTTAATGTCTACAGTTAACTCATCTGATGACCAGCATGGCCTTGCTGATCAGTCTCTGAAGGTTGAGGCCACTGTCTGTGAGGAGTCCCTTCTGGATCTGTTATGTCTCTGTCCCCAGTGAAAAGCCTTCGTGTGACTTTTCAGGCTGTCGTCACCCCTGTTTTACCATAGGTCTCAACTGGCACAAAAAGGTGACCCGAATAACTGAACCAATTGGAGTTCATGTATTTAAATATAACTGCTGTTTTAAAATACAATCTGTACACGGAATCTTGGACCATCAGAATATATTTTGTGCCAAATAACACAAGCCGAGCAAAACACAGAGGTGTTTCAGTCTCAATTTGCCTTTTTAAGGTCAGAAGAAAGGAAATAGTCACATACACTAGTTGTATATTATAAAGGGAGTTGTTATAAAATGACTTGCTTCAAAGTGTTATATGTTTTCCAAAACACAATTTTGGTACCATTTCTACTTTCCCACATTAAGGGGGAAAAATATCTGCTAATATTAGTATGTGCCCAATAAAGTCTTTTAGCAGACCTCCCTAAGTATACACATATGATACTATAAAATATTTGTAATGCTTAAGAGATTTTTCTTTGCTGGGTTCCAATTGCTTACAGCGCTGTTTTTGGCTAGAAATGGTCATCACAGGCATCCATATTCATTTTCTGTTCCTTTTTTATGGTGTTCCATCAAGACTTTAGTTCTGTGTCTCCTCATGTCATTCTAAGTGTCCCAGAGAGTGAAGGCATGAGTGATACTGGAATAGACACCAGTCTGGGTGTTGGATGCCAGAAGGAGAAGCTTCCAGCCCAGGTCAAAGATGCAGTTTATTATCAAGCTCAGTTCCTGACAGCCCTGGAAGAACGGCCATGTGAAACATCACACGAGACCCTTTGTCTTATAGCTGTCACTTCCCCTCTTCTTCCAATTCTGCTTTGCCTTTGTGATTCTTGTTTTGGATTTAAAAAAAAAAATCTCAGAAGAATGTTATTAAAATAGCTTCCTATGGAAAAGAAATAAGCTCAGACCGTTGCTCTCTCCCAATTTTTATTCCTCTTCTCTCAAAGGAAAACAAACTGCATCTCTTTGGGCTTTTATTGTTGATGCCGCATTTTATCTTGAATGCTCCCCGTTTTCAAGTCTCGGAATTGGAAATGTGTTCTGGTTGTAGGTAAAGTCACTTCATTTTTCATAAATGCTTTTCCCCACCACAGATATTAATGAGTGTGAAACGCCTGGGATCTGCATGAATGGGCGCTGTGTCAACACTGATGGCTCCTACAGATGTGAATGCTTTCCTGGACTGGCCGTAGGCCTGGATGGACGCGTGTGTGTCGGTAAGATTAAAGCCATGACTATACGTACGATGGAGATGCACCCTCTGTCAGTCAGTATCCACCAGGAACAAACGCACTCTACCATAGCAGATATGATACAGTTAATATTTGTGGGGCAACAAACTAATAGGATGAGTTCTCTTCTTGGATAAAGTGGATATTAATTTAAAGGATAGAACAATTAGCTGAGATAAATGAAAACCAAAGGGATCTGCACCCCTCCTTCCCCGTTGTCTTTCCTAATCCCCTAGCTATCCTCAATTTCCCCCAACCTTCCTTTATTGATAATGGTCTTTGAAACTGGCCTGTATATGCTCATTATCTCATGGTGAACATTTCATTTTCATCTAGGGAATTAAATGTCCAAAGGGAGCTATAGCAGGCAAAGGAGGATGTGGATAATCAAGAAACTTACATGATAATAGTTTTATGTGGCTTTATACAAAGTTTGAGATTTGTTGAGAAATAGATACAAGTTTTATCTGAATTATTTTTAGGAAAAGTAGTCAGTAAACCCTTTAAATTGAGAGAAGATTGGACATAGCTGGAAATCCCCTCCTGCTGGTAAAGACGGCACAGCTAAACTGACCAATATCTACAGATTTATATAAATGAACCTTTTACAGACTAAACATCCTCCTCTTTGAAACTATATCTAATTCAGATATTCAATAATCACATGTTTATTTTGAGGCAGGCCATATTTCTAATAAAGACCTTATATATTGTAAAGTGAGCTTGAATGACCATCCATCGTTCATTCAGCATTTATTAAGTGCCTTCTCTGTAGAAACCTGGGGAAGGAAAAAAATGAGTGTGATATAATCCCAGCCCTGGAGGACCTCCCAGTTGGGTAAACCGTGGTAGTCCCTAGAAAACTGAAAGAGTCTGGTGGTTGGTTGGAAGCTGAATGCCGAATGATTTGCTTTGTTTTGTTTTCTAGTGAGACCTAATACGAAAGGCATTCTGTGTGAGTTAGAACAGGGATGACGGCTATATAAAGCCAGCGTTAACCTTGACCTGGGGAGGGGGGGGCTCCCATCTGTTTGAAGCGACAGTGTGATGACAGCCGCGTCTTCCTGTTTAGACACACACATGCGGAGCACATGCTATGGTGGATACAAGAGAGGCCAGTGTGTCAAGCCCTTGTTTGGTGCTGTTACCAAATCTGAATGCTGCTGCGCCAGCACTGAATATGCCTTTGGGGAGCCTTGCCAGCCGTGTCCTTCACAGAATTCAGGTATGTGGTGTCGTGGGATGCGCTCGTGCTGTCGGGCTTCTGCCACCGCCTGCAGTCTTGGCATGTAGGGAAGTCACAGGGAAAGATACTTTATGCTCTCCAGGTACATCGCATGCCTTCCTGGGGGCTTGGCAGGGGGGCTGCTCAGGCTCTGATCACGCGTCACTCACCGACCTAGCAATCACTTGGATCAGGCAGCACATTCGTGCCTCCTGTCTGACCTCCTCCACCTCAGTAGGATTCATGCTTCTTAGGATACATGCATCTTACCTTGTTTCCTAACATAGTTTCGCAGTGTCTGCATTTTGCAAGAACTATTATCGAAGCAGAATTTTACAGAGTGTAAAAGTAGATAATTTTCAAATTACCTGAATATTTCCAGCATTTTTTTTTCCCCAAAAGTCCCTTTGTGAATTTTGGTCAAATCCTTTCATGTTGATTTAGGTGTGCTTTTCCTAAATGATTTTATTCAATCCTAGGGAAAAAATATTTTTCTCAATTTGAAGTGGCATGGCGTAGTGAAAGGAGTCAGAATTCTGCTCCCCAGCCACAGGCCAACAAATTACTTAATTGGAGGGTTCAGTTCTTTGTGGATTTTTGTTTATTTAGGAATTTTTCTTACCTACTTTCAGAAGGATTTGAGATGGCTTACATTAGTAAACATACGTAAAATAGAATAATACAGAAAAGGGATCCTTAGGTTTTTTTAATCTACAAAATGAATTGTCCTGGATAATCCAGAAGATCCCCTCCAATTGTAAATTACTTCTATTCATAAGGCAAAAATAGTTTATTGAAATGAAAGCAATAGACTGTCAACATTTGAACATAATTTTAAGGTAGCTTGGCAGATGACTTCTAATGTCCTAAAACAGAGTCAGTCCTAACATTGAAAACATGTAGCAACTGATTCGTTGGTTTACATCTAAAATTTAATTAATTTATTCCTGGCTTAGGTACAATCAATTCAAGAGGAACTCATGGTGTTTAAACATTTTCCATTTTGAAAATAATAGTTGAAATCAGACAGTTAGAAATTAAAATATATTATGAGAAATTAGAGAAGGTTAAATGGAAGAGCTGAAAGGAAATGGGGCAATGCCAGTTAAAGAAAGAAAGCTTTATTCTGCGTGAGAACTTCACCCAGTGAGTAATGTAGAAAGTGTCATTCTACATATGATTACTAATCAATTAGATACATGTTTACAGTAATACTTCAGTTTATAGTATACAAATATAATTCTGTCCAACAAAGATACTTCCATGTAACTTTATAGTGGTATATTATTAATATCATCCTTTTGTATGTTACTTGAACTTTTCAAAGCACTTTTCTTACATACTTTGAATTTACAAAATAGATAAGTATCCTGAAAAACTGGTGCACAAAAATATCAGTGATTTGTTCCTGTCTTGAATGGGTAGAAGAGACAAAACTTAGAAACTAGGACCATTGATGCATACAGTTCTCTGTTTTTACATTTTCCTCTGAACCAAGTACATCTCCAAAGAATTTGTATGATACAGAGGAAAATGAAGTAGCCTTATAAAAAGATGACTGAAAGAGACCAGATTTCTTTAAGCAGTAAAGCTTAAAGAGAGCTGTATTTGAAGCTCAATTCTGCTAGCTTCTGTTTTATATTTGAATGGATTTACACAGAAGAGGCCCATGTGTAGAAGTGGTTTCATTCAGTTTGGTTTCTCTGCTCCTTTGGTAGATGAAATTGCCAAATAACGAAGGGTTGAAGTGGAGGCTATCCCTTATTTCAGGAGAGAGGAGGGATTTTAAAAGGTACTAGAAATATCCAGAAGGACTATCTTTAGTCAATCTAGTCAACTCTAACCACCCAGCATCTAAAGCTCATCTTCATGCTCTGGAAGCCAAATTAGCTACATGTGAAGATACATCTCCCTGGCTGCTGAGCTTTTATTCTTGTAGAAATTGGTCAGTAAAACCCACAGAAGAGCAGTTACTAGGAATGTTCTCATCTGTCCTCATTCCGCCGTGTGCGTGGTACAGCGCGGAGTTAGCTCAGTAACACCTACCATTCACTGAGTGAGCGTGTTCTCTCAGTAAATCTGCGGAACTACCAAGTGAGTTGGGTAGCATTTTCTATGACTTACAGATGCGGGAACTAGAAGAGAGAAAGGACTTGCTCCCAAGACCCCCAGCGTAAGCACCGTCATCAGCATTCAAACCCATGCTGATCCGAATTCACTGCAGTTTTGAGTCTGGCACCAGCCCCTGCCTGAATGGAAAAGAACCATGACAATGATTTGCTTCCATTGAGACCAAACATCAGCTAATTTAGTGCTAATTACAAAACTGCTTTTGGCAAAAATGGCATGATTTTGTTTTTCCTGTTTTGTTACTTACACTGTTTCATGAGTGGTTTAATTAACTGTTGATGTGAAGCATACAGAGGATGCATTTCTTTCTGCTCCCAGTCCCTGACTTTCAAACCCAATGGTGATCACCTTCCCATTTGTTCCTTTTTTTTTTTTTGAGATGATTGAAACATTAAGGGATTTCACCCTTTTAAGAGGATTGAAAAATTAACGAATTTCACCACTTTTCTCAAATTTGTGTTTGCTGGAAGACAGAGGCTCTGAAGGAGTCAACCTTCGTCTCTTTAATCTGTATAACTCATTTGCATCCCCTGTCATCCAGAATGCAATTTTCTAGCATGTGGATGTATAGGAACTATTTGCTTCAGCACTGAGGTGCAGTCGAGCTCTGTGAAAAAGGACCATGCCTAGTATTCAGTTCTCCTGCCCCTTAAGCACAAAGGAGCTGCATTTGACCATGAGACTCTGTAGTTGCCAGAAACCATGGACAACTAAGGAAGCACTTTAGTTTCTTTTCCTTGGATTGAGTATGATTCCTATTAGTTCTCCATTGTCATCAGTCACTCTTAGGTTCATCTACATCTTGTTGGAATTGTGTATAAAATATTGTATCCATTTTAAGAAATAGGAATCTGATTCCATTGCGAATTTGGGAATTGAACACACCTTGATTTCTTCAGTAAGATCTCACAGTTTTAACGTTATGGAATACTTTCCCTGTGGGTTTATCATATAGAATGAATGTAGTATCCTGATGAATTACATGTATTTAAAAATACAGGTAAATGCAAGTGTAGATACTTTGTTGTTTTTGTGAGAGGGAAGATAGAGAATTTGCAGAGAGAAATGAGAAAATGTTAAGAACTTGATTGTAACTGAAAAAAAAAAATAGCTCAAACTAGGAAAAAATTTATTCCCAAGATGGTGGGAGAAAGTTTTATTAACAGTTAAGAAACCACATTTTAACAGGCACATTTCACTGTAAGTGTAAAGTGTTCCCTGGTGAACAAAATCAAGTCATAGGAAAAACACCTTTTCTGAAAGTGCTTTGCACAAGGAATTGCTGTAACTTGCCTGTATCCTTAAAAGTCGTTTTCCACGGTGATTGTGGAGCCTGGTGTGACTCCCTGGGGAGATGCCTCCTTTTCCGTTACCACTTTATTTCAGTTCCACTCACTTTGGAGGAAATGATGTGTGCAAAGCCAAGGGCAGGATCGACCTGTTCTGCAAACAAGGGCATCACTTACTATCTGTTAATTTATTGCAGCGGAGTACCAGGCGCTCTGCAGCAGTGGGCCGGGAATAACGTCGGCAGGCAGTGGTAAGGACTCGTTTTGAAATTCACTACCTTCAGCATGTGCAGAGGCAGCACTGGGCCTTCCTGGGGGTCTCCAGTCGGTCCCTTTACAGCAGTCTGGTCTGACTCTCCGCTCTGGCCGTCGCTGCATGACGTACCTGGGACACCTAGAAGCCCCCAGTGTGGGGACAGCAGCTTGGCACAGTGGGTCCTGCCACTGCAGGGTGTGGGGGTTGGTGCTGAAGGATTGGGTGCCCTCCCGGGGTGGTTTATGTGGATGAGATGCAATGACTGTGGTCACTCATTCATTCATGAGAAAGGGCAGCCTGGTGGGTCTACCACTATAAAGTACAGTTCAGGGTTACAGACTCAAGTGAACTGTTTTCTGCACATTGGGAACGCTTTCTTAACTGTCAAGTGCTCAGTCATTATCAGATGGCAGTAGGGAGCCATGTTGCATTTTGTAGGAGCCAGTGTTAGCAATTAACTAAGTTGGAAGAAAATGAACTATTTAAGTGTAGGAGTTAGAATGGGGAAATATTGGTGCCATAAAGAGAAATTCAAGTTAGAAGGGGGAATTGGAATAAGTGTAAAAATAGGCGACAAGAAAGAGGAAGGGGTTATTTATATACAGTGAAATGATTTGATTCAAGAGAGTTCTGGAAGAAAAATAGACTGGCTGAACTGATTGTCAGTTCATTCTCTTGATTGAGTTCATCGTTACGTGTGGATGAAGAAGGGGCAGGGTGGGTATTTGGAGGAGAAAGGAGGAGAAGTAAGGAAATTGATAATGAATAAAGAGTTCATGGGGGACCTGGGGAAGAAAAAAAAGGTCAACCAAGATTTTTGGAAGAGTCGGGCAATAAGATTTGAGACTGGCGTTCACTGACTGTCATTTGGCATCACCCTTGACTATTATAGCTCTCAGGACCCAGCCTCACCTGGCTAGAGTTGCTCTTCCAGAGCAGGTAGTGTTAGAGCAGGCTTGGACCGGTGACTAGGTTTGCTGCAGACAGTCCCAACACAGAGTGGAGAGGGCGTGTGTGTTCATGGCAGAGTAAGAGATTTAAAGTGAATGAACAGAGTTCATATTTTAATTTAACCTTGAGAATATTATTGAACCTATGAAAGTCTGAATCACGAGAAGGACACAGTCACCTTGTTTTTAGGCTAAGTCTGGTGGCAGTGTAGAAGGTAGATCACAGAGGGATGGGCTGATGGCAGGGAGACCACTTGTAGGAACTTGGGCTCTGGATATGACCCACTTTTCCATCTTGATGTTTAGACAAGAAGTCCAGGGGTTCTCCTCTAGATTAAGGACTGGTAATCTTGTAGTTCTAGCTCAGATGCCAAATTCTCTCAGGGACTGGTGGAAGGAAGATTTGACTCAGAATATCTTATTGTAAGAAAAAGGGACCAAGCTTTCTCATCAAAGAGAACTTTTATTTTCACGAGGTCCTAAGAGCTTTTCATTTATTGTGATTTTTTTTTTATTGTTCACTTGATGTTTACTTTAGAAAGTTACTGATTTGGGGCTTTTTTTGTGTATGGTGCAGATATAAATGAATGTGCATTAGATCCTGATATTTGCCCAAATGGAATTTGTGAAAATCTCCGTGGGACCTACAAATGTATATGCAATTCAGGATATGAAGTGGACTCGACTGGGAAGAACTGTGTTGGTAAGAAGCCTTACCTGTTTTCTAAGACGTTTCGTGCATCATGCACATCTTTTGTTACTTGAGGGAAACTGCTTGTGAGTAGCTTAAAGGACTGGACAAATGGATGCTCCACACTCTGGGTGTCTGCGTGGCACCTACATGTCTTGGTTAACTAAAATCTGCACAGCTGAATCCTGACAGTTTAGATCTTTTGTTCACTCAAATGGTGGGACATGGCGGGAGTACTGTCCCTCATACAGCATACAGTTCTCTAATTCAGCAGGTTGAAGCAGAGGCCGAACCTTCTAGCTGCCTCTGTTGTTAGGGCTGCCGCAGATTGTCATTATCTGCAAAGTAGACATAGCCATCCGTCATTTTCGAAAAAGCAGAAATCTTACTTTGAATATTTTCTTCTCCTTTCCTTCCTAATATGTGGCCTTTGAACACACATAAAAAGAACTAATAGCACATGAAAGCATCTTATTTGCTCCCATTTAAATCAGCTTTCACCCGAGTTTCAGGCTTAAACAAGTACCTAACAGAATGGAGAATGGAAGCAGGTCAAGGGAGCTACAGACTTATCACAAAACCCCTCTTCTTTCGACTACAGGTTTCTTTTTCTCTCCCTAACTTTTATTACTGGCCCAAACCTGGCCCTTCCTCCTTTATGGTCTACGTTGAATTTTGAGACATGAATTCTTCCTCTTTCCCACCCTTAATTTTAGGGCCCCCTTTTGGGCTTAGTGATCAGTTGAGAATGCGTGGTACTTTCAAACTAGTTTCACTCAAAAAAAGGTTTACTATTTCATTTTTCTGTAATAGCCTCTCTACATTGGCACAAAAAATCATAATGTATTTGGGCAAGCCACAAAGACACAGAGATGTTTTAGCATCATCCAAAAATCACCCCATGGGAAGCTCAAGGGAGAGTCTGGTGAGGCAGTGGGGGTTCTTCCTCCAGTGCTTTGGTATAGACTCCAAAGTCGGGCACATGGTCATCAGGTCCGAAGTATGTTCACAGTTCAGATCATGTTCGGAGGTAGGAAGTTAGGAACCAAAGGTCCACTCCAGCCACTTCCCACACAGAGTTCCAGGGACTGGCTAGTTTATATCTTAATCTTCCATTTCTCAACTTAAGGCTCCAGATTCTTCTGACGTGATCAAAGTTTAAGAATTACAATAGTGACCCTTTTGGGAAGTGTTAGCATTCCTTATATAATTTTGATAGAATTCTCAGCATGGTGTTTGCTCAGACAATAAATTAACTTTATACTTGATTTCCCCATATTTTAAATACTTTATAAACACTGCCCTCCATATCTGCAAGTTTTCCATTCAAGGATTCAACCAGCCTTGGATCAAAAATATTTGAAAAAAAAATTCCAGAAAATTCCAAAAAGCAAAACTTAAATTTGCCCATGTACCAGCAACTATTTACATAGCATTGACATTGTATTGGGTGTTGTAAGTAATCTAGAGATGATTCAAAGTATATGGGATATATGAAAATACTGTGCCATTTTATATAAGGGACTTGAGCATCCATAGATTTTGGTATCTGGGTTGGGTGTGCCTGGGACCCTGATCCCCTGCAGATACCAAGGGATCACTGTATGTTGCTTTTTGAGTGTATTTACTGTTGGAACCCGTGCGGCTCTCCAGTGTTAAAACTGTGTCCCTTAAGGGCTATTAGCTTGTTAAATGGTAATCTGAACAGAATCTCTCCATGGTAAAAAGTTCCTTGTGAGGTCTGTTGTGTGGTCTGTGACAGAGTTTAGCTCAAAGGGGTACATGAAACTATTTAAGTTCTGCACTTCCTAAATTATCTTAGTAATATATATCAAAAGTTTGATTTTGCATCAGACAGGCCTGTTATACAGCTGAAAGCAAAGAGTTTTCCTCAGCTCTCTGAATCTTGAGTCTACAGTCCTCATGACAGTTATAAATTCTACAGATTACTTCATACTTTATAAACATAACTGGAGACCATTTAAATTATTCTAAAGAAGAAACACCTATCCTGGAATTAACACATAGCGAAGAGGGATCATACTTTCTAAATATTGATTTAGTTCCTTTAACCAATAGGATTAGTCCTCTTAATTCTGGCACAATGAAACAATTACATAAAGATTAATGACTTCCAGCAATCTAAGTTTTCTTCCTGCTAAAGAAAGAAGTAAATTAAGCAGTGTCTGGTGACTTCAGACTTTGTGGACACCTAGTATAGGTCTAGCATATAGTGCAGATCAAGCCCCTATTTTCCTAAAACAGATGATTTTGGCAAAAGCCAAAGCCTCTTTCCTTGAATTAATCACATCATGATGACCTTAGAAACTTAACCTAAAATGCAAAGAAATTGCGTGCAAGGGATGAGCTCTTTTAAAAGTTCATGTTTTTCGGTTTTCCAGATATTAATGAATGTGTACTGAATAGTCTACTTTGTGACAATGGACAATGTAGAAACACTCCGGGAAGTTTTGTCTGTACCTGCCCCAAGGGATTTATATACAAACCTGACCTAAAAACCTGTGAAGGTAAGACATATTTTTGTTCTTACAGCAAGTACTCTGCCCTCTTTTGGAGCACCACTGAAAAACCACAAACATAAATTCGAGCAGCTTCTGTTTTGGACAGCTGTGTCACTTGGTTGAGATTCTGTGGTCCTAAATGACACTTGTATGCCCTTTGTAAGCTACTGATGACACTTATCTGCAATTGGCATTTTATTTGCCATTTATTTTTCATTCAAATGCCATTTAAAAGTATTCCTTTTGTATTTGCCTGCATTTGTCATTTAATTTGCCATCAATTAATAGTTGAAGAAAATATCAGATATATGCTGTTTGAGTTAGCAATTCAGAAATCACACTTCATTTGCTCCAGATTTTTTGAATAAAAAGATTCAGCCATGTGCTGACCATAGTGATGTGCTCAACTGTTATTTTTGGCATTTCATCTAGTCTAGAAAAAAAAAATCTATCTAGGCCAGCCTTGCTATCTAATGAAGAATATGTGGTAGCAATTGAGGCCAAAGTTTAAATATTCATCCACGCCTAAGTCTGCTTTTCAGCAGTAATGTAGACCCGTTTTTGTTTCAGACATCGATGAATGTGAATCAAGTCCTTGCATTAATGGAGTCTGCAAGAACAGCCCAGGCTCTTTTATTTGTGAGTGTTCTTCTGAAAGCACTTTGGATCCAACAAAAACCATCTGCATAGGTATTTATCTTTCTGAGACTGATTTTCCTATGTTTATCAGTGCTGCTGTATTTGATGTCCACTCTGATTGCAAATGAGTTTCAGTATGGGAGAACAGAATTTTAAATGATCATTATTTCTTGTTTCATGATACTATTCTTGCTGTAACTCCAATGCACATGTTTGAATTTTTGATATAGATCCTAATAAGTACCTATTAAATACACTCTGCCCTCCTCCCCCCGCCCCTGCAGAAACCATCAAGGGCACGTGCTGGCAGACCATCATCAATGGGCGGTGTGAGATCAACATCAATGGAGCCACGCTGAAGTCCCAGTGCTGTTCCTCCCTCGGTGCTGCCTGGGGGAGCCCGTGTACCCCGTGCCAACTCGGTAAGAGAAGGGGGTGCTGTGGCTCCTGTGCCCATCGCTTTGGGCACTTTGCTTAGAAAGGGGAAACCCAGAACTTTGTGCACGTAGCTTTACATGGGAATTTTAGAAGATTTAACTCCGATGACCTCAGTGAAACATATTGCTGAATGGGAAACTAAGAGAAACGTCAAGGACAATAATTTTAAGTGATTCGGTTAATTTGTCGTTTTCTATCACCACCCTGTAATGTGCTTCTGTGGTGAGGCTTTCCTAGATCAGCAGTTCCTATGGGCTCTCTCGGGAACCTCATGATTAGGGGTCCCGAGCTTTTGACAGGAACAGATTTTCTTGCAAAAAAAAAAAAAATGCTGTAAAGGAGCCAGTGTTCATGACTAAATTAAAGTTGTTGCAAAGCTGAGGTTTGACAGCCTTGCTGATGATTTTGTTGATTCAGTGTCCACATACATAAGTGTGTGGATTTAGATAGTGTGAGTGCTGCAGGGCATGGGATCTTCCAGTTCTAGACTTTGTTTTCCACACTCATGTTACAGCAGTCCTGCAGTGTGGTTTGTATTTTGGGGCTAATAGCAAGAGAGAAATCGAGTCAGTTTCCTTCTTAGTCATCACCTTGGCTCAATCTTTAGGGTACCTCTGGGTCTTTTAGGATATCTCAGATGAAGTGAGCTTTATTCACGAAGACATTTCATTCTTCTTCATCACCTATGCAATCTCAGAAACACTTTGTTGTCTCAGACTTATTCATAGCAATAAAAGCGAATTCATGTTACAGGTCCTCTCTCGTGTTTCTTATCCCATGTCATACAAAGTCTGGATATTGTTATCTCAGATTTTTTTTTTTTGCTTTTTGTTTGTTTTCTTGTACAGATCCCATATGCGGTAAAGGCTATTCACGAATTAAAGGAACACAGTGTGAAGGTATTTATGATTATTTATAAACCATAAATCACTGTGTGCGTGAAAAATGCTTGTATTAACTTGGATTGGATAAAGCTGTCATGTAACTTCCCAGTGAGAAATACGCAGCAGGGAAAAAAAAAATGATGAAAACTGCCGAACAGAACAGACGTTAATTTCACAAGCGTATCTGCTAAGCGTATAAGCAGATCACTACAGCCACAGGGCAGGGTGGCTGGAAATGCTTTAGGCTAAGCCCAGTTTCAGGTGACTGCACTTTCAAAATACTATCTATGAAGAAGACAAAAAAGGAAGCTTTTGAGGAGGCTATGAGATTTGTATGTTTCTTGGCTTGTCCTGGTTTGTTGCTGTTTGTGTGTTTGTTTCACGGTCATGGATGATGAGAAAGGGACGTTCTCTTGCCTCATTTTTGAAAGTCTACGTGGATTCTCTCCAGTTTGCTATGATTCTTTCTCATAGTGTCCCAGATAGACATAGGTCAGGGTGACTAACACAACCTGACATGACACAGCAGCTGAAAAATTTTAAAAACAGCAATTAGTCCCATATGTGGAATGAAGTGAAGTTTCTTTCCCTAAAATAAAGAGGAACACTATAACCCCCACCCAAGTTCTTGCTTTCCAAATGATGACTGAATCCTTTGGCCTTTCTCTGGTCCAGACCCATTGTTAATAACTTATCTGACCTCAGCAGCACATTTTGGTATACAAGTGGCCAGAACAAGATCAAAACAAAACCCCGAAAGGTAAATATCCCCCTCCCCATTTATTTCTCTTATAAGGAAAGATTTAGCATTTTTCCCTCAACATCCCTGACTGGGAAAGTTATTTCTTCTAAGTAGAGACATAGTGTGTATGAGTTTCTTGACTAATGCTCCCCTTTTTTGGTGTTGCAAGTAAGTGCCTTTCTTTGGATTAACTTGATAAGTGAATATTTTTCCCAAAGAAGTGCAGAGAACACAATGTTCTCCAATAAGCACGCTGGGAAGGACTGGTACGTTTGAGACAGATGCAATGAATGATGAATGAATGAGCGTGAGCCTATTCCACCTCTCCCCAGCTCCAGCTGGGACCACCAAGGCTCTGATGGAGCAGCCCAAGACCACTGCTGAGATAGGACTAGATACAAACTGTCTTGGGACTTCTCAGCATTTCTCAAAGGAGACTCTTGACTGGCCCCACACATTCCTCAGTGGTGGATTTTTTTTTCTCTGATCAGCTTTAAGCTGTTTTCTTCTTTGCTAGTTTGAAAGACCAAGTTTCTGTTTCTCTACTTACTTCCAGCCATCTGATCTCATAAAGCTAATTATTTAGCCCCGGGATCCTTACCTGAGACGTCTCCAGTACCCAGCCCTGTTCCCAAGAACTCGTACCAGCTCCCTGCCTTTACAACTCAAACATTACTCCCTGAGACTGATGGAGAAACTCTTTTATCTTTGGTAGTAGGTGGGCTAGGTCTAGTTGCTTTTCAAACATCCCAAAAACTCAACATGAATTATTTGGAGGCAAACTAGTTTTATAGACGTATCAGGTTCATAGTAGCCTTTTCAGTTGTGAGAATAATATGACTCCACGAATGGAATAAAGTAGAATGATGTTATACAGACATGTTAACTTCATGCCTTTTTTCCTCCATAGATATAGATGAATGTGAAGTGTTCCCGGGAGTATGCAAAAATGGCTTATGTGTTAACTCTAAGGGATCATTTAAATGTCAGTGTCCCAGTGGGATGACTTTGGATGCCACAGGGAGGATCTGCCTAGGTAAAGACTGAGCTCATTACTTTTCTTTTTAAATTTGTTTTTTCTTTTTGTTGTTGTTGTTTGGTATGTGGGTGGAGGGGGGAGGTAATTAGATTTATTTATTTATTTAATGGAGGTGCTGGGGATTGAGCCCAGGACCTCATGCATGCTAAGCATGTGCTCTACCACTAAGCTATATACCCTCCCCACCGTGAGCTCATTACTTTTCTTTTTATTTATTTATTTTTTTAGGGGAGATGTAATTAAGTTTGCTTATTTACTTTTTAAAGGAGGGAGTGGGGATTGAACCCAGGATCATTACTTTTCTAATGAACATTTCTTAATGATCATTAAAAACTCAGTTAACAAGATAGATCTGAGTTCTTGGTTCCAACTATAGACACACATGTCCCAAATTCAGCATTTCTGTCAGGCTTCATGGTGGTTCCCTTGACAAATAGCCTTCCTCACTCAGCACTTTGCTTATTCTTTATAAAAAAGAGTGCAGAATATGTCAGTGAAGAGAAACTTTAGTTCTTTATTGATACATAACTATGCATTAAATCACTACCATCACGGTTATTATTCTGGAGCTCTTAAATCTGTCCCCCATTTGCAATGAACACAGATAGAGTACTAGGCAATTGGTGAGAAGAACATTTTTTGCTGAGTTGGAAACTGTAGCCCCTGCTTGCTAGGCATGCGTGCCATTCGCCAGAAGGACAGGTCCCTGCAGGAAGTTCTTGTGGGTATCAGGAGTGAAGAGTGTTACAGCCCTGAGGAGTGAACCTAAGGGAACGAGGGCTGTTACAGACAACAGTCATGGTGAGATCCTCTGTGACGACTGCTAGAACCCAAGGGACAGTGGCACGGAAGCTCCTGAACACCAGACCCTGAGTTCTTAGAAAGCTGCCCTGGGGACTCACGGTGGCAGCAGTTTTGAGATCCTACAGTCATGCTTGTGGGGTCTTGGGCTTATTCTGGGGTTACCACTGTGGCTTCCGACTGCCGGGAATATGTCCTTGGGATCACTGGCTTCTGAGTCCGTGACTCTGGAATGGTGCATCTGACCCTGTATGACACTGAAGAGCATCTTCAGAGAAGGACCACTGTAAGTGGCTGAAAGAGGGGCAGGCAGTTAAGGGATTTGGATCCTTTATGAATTAGGATTAATCGGCCTTAAACTATGGAACTTTATGGTTTATGATGTAAGCAATAGTAAAGGATAGAAGAGCTGGAATTCAGAGGCTGGAGTCCTTTCGTGACTCCGCGTGTCAGTCAGTCCCTTTCTGAGTCTTAGTTTCGTTGTATAGGAGAGATCAGCATTTGACGAGCACCTTCTTCCAGGTTCTTCCATTGAAAGATGCTTCAGTGTTTCATTTAGGATTCATTTTGAAATGAGGCATCTTTATAGAGGCAGCCTGAATGTGCTGTTGCTCAGACGCCTTCAGAAGCTTTTTAACATTAAAGGAAGCTCAGGGTCCCCCGCGTATCCAAGGGAATGTGCACATAAGCACACATCAGGGTGAAAAAAGAACTTGAGAAGAGCCGTGAATGGCTTTTCTTTGCTGTGCTTCCCCTTTAACCGCGAGGAGGGCAGTCCTCATTCCGGAGTTTACCCTTCCACCTCT